CATAAACGATCAACCTGCTCCATCTAACTCATAGGTCATTCAGCATTTGAGTGTCAGCGTGCCATATTTCTCCGTTGAATTCGAGGTCATCTTCGACTTCTGTTATCACGCTTACTGATGATATGATAGTTGATCATTTTGTTATCGTGGTTCCTCAAATTCTCAGTTGTACTGTATATTAAAACAGTCATACATACCTCCCTTGTCAGGTGGTAGTTAATCATCTGGTCGTCATGGTACCAGAAGACGTAGGTAGGAGGCTGGGTGTTGTCTCTTAACACACACACCAGTCTCAAGGAGCTTCCCACAGTCATGTATTTCTCAGGACCTCCCAAGATCTCTGCCGACGCCTCTGTCAAGAAGGGAACCTTGATGGACAACTTTTGAAAGTTTTTCTTGTGGTTAACAGGACGAAGAGACACATACAAGGTGCAGAACAAACTTTTTTAAAGGCAACGTTTCGCTCTGAGTACACTTTATCAAGATCTATACAGAGCGAAACGTAGTCCCTATAAAAAGTATTAAGTAAATTGTCTCTGCCGTCATACTTGTCGTTCATATTTCGCATCGGTTATTAAGTAACGAAATGAGACGGATTGTGTCAGTGAGACGAGAAAGGAGGATAAGGATTTACTTATCCAGGATGTGTAGGATGAAGGATAAAAGTTAACTTACCCAGGATGTGAAGGATGAAGGATAAAGGTTAACTTACCCAGGATGTGAAGATGAAGGATAAAGACCCAGGATGTGAAGGATGAAGGATAAAGGTTAACTTACCCAGGACGTGAAGAGTGGAGAAGAGGCTGACGGGAGGGTGAGATGACACTTGACATTCGTACACGCCGTTGTCACGAACCTGAACATAACGGATGTGAAGTTGCCAGTCCTGTGTGGAGTGCAACACTGTAGTCCTATCATATTACACTCATCACTACACCTGTACACACACACACACACACACACACACACACACACACACACACACACACAAGTGATTTTTTAAATGTAGCAAAGTGGAATAAATAGAATAGTTAAAGTTGAAAATAAGGGCTGCACAAGTGGGAAAGTAAGATCAGAGGAGGAATATTTGTGATAGAAGTAGTTTGAGTAATGAAGTGGAAGGGATAGGAAAGGCAGATTTATCAGTGAGAATCAGCAGAGTTTCCTTGGGAGGATATCCTCTCATACAAACCTGCTGGAGCTGTACTATGGATACAGAGATAAAAATTAAATTCCGCCCTGGGCGGAATTAATTTTTTTTGAACTGCAAAACAAGTTCTGATGCATTATTTTAAGAGAGAATAATGCATGAACTAGAAGATAAGGCGGGATAAAAATGAAAAGACTGTCAGTTGCGTCAGAGGATATCTGAAAGAGAGCGGCAGTGAGGAAGGTGTCAGAATGAGCGTATGACGAGAGGAGTCCCTCAGTGATAGGTACTAAACCCACTGCTGTTTTAAAATATGCAAATTGTGTCTCAGATGAGACGGGAGTGAAATATTCGTAGGCCTAGTTACTGATGAGGCAGAGGTAATGTGAAGGATAAGTTCAAGGATTGACAGAGGCAAACTCTAGGAAAACTTCAAAACCTGGCGAATTGTCAAGAAACGAAAAGGCAAATAAGGATCAATTCAGCAAGGACCAAAATATCGTCCAGTTTCCATATCCAGTTTGAGGGTTAGTTGTAAAGAACATATTTTTGAAATATGAAAGGATCAGTAGAGAAAGTATTAGAGAATATTTCTTCACAAAAAGTGTTGTTGGTAGATGGAATGGAGAAATTGTATAAAATACCACCGCGATGGATAAAGACACAAATGCATTGCAAGGTGATCCTTTATTGACAACGTTTCACCCACACAGTGGGCTTTGCCAAGTCATAAACACATCAACCTGGGGAGAGAGGATGGAATATTATATATAACACACACATTCTCCGTCCCCAGATAAATCTGCTGTGACTAGACAAGGTCTGCTGTGTAAGAAAAAGATTGTCAATAAAGGATCACATTACGTTGTTTTTATCTACGGAGTGAATGAATTAAGAGAAAAAGGGATGTTTAATTTTCTGGAAAAACTATATTCTCTTATATAAATAGGAAAATTAAAATATAAAATTGCATCAATTTTATTTTTTTTAAAACAAGCGGTTGACCCCACGAGGCAGGGGCCTAAATTTATAAGTTAAAGGAAAAGGGGTTTTACTAGCCCCTTGCCCCCCCGCATTTAGTCGCCCCCTGCAACACGCTGGTTTAGAAGGAAAGAATTCTGTCACTTCCCCATAGAAAATATGTAATTATAAATAGTTAATTAAAATACTAATTAAAATAGGAAATTAAAAATGATAATTAGAAAGAGGGATACGATATTCATGAAAAATAGGGAATCGATAAAGTAGATAAGGAAAATAATTTGGGTGAAGGAACTAAAAAGGGTTCCCAGTGACGGAAGCTGAAATGTAAAAACCACAACGTCTTAGGAAGTACTTTTTCAGGAAAATGTAGAAAAGTAGAAAAAACCCTTTGTAAAAAGTACTGGCAACCTTTAAGGATTTCAGGAAAAAGTTTAAAAAATGAAATTTTAAAATTAATTTTTCCTGCTTGATGTAGCGAACGGGAACCCTTTCGTCGCTCTGTAGGCTGGAGCCCACTGTCACAAGTGGTTCCCGCCTTTTGACCAGACCCCTAAAGGCGGGGAAGGGGAAGACGAACAAATGTAAAAAGGATGAAGGGGGAGTAAATGACCTGAAATGAGGTGAAATGAAAAAAAAAACTGAAAAAGTTTTGTAAATTTTATAAAAATTAATTATATATTATATATAATATATATTATATTAAAATTATATATATATAATATATTTATTTATAATATATATATAAAATTTTATATTTTTTTTTTTTTTCACCCCGGCCGTTTCCCCCAAGGGCGGGGTCCCCAAAAAAAAGAAAAACTTTCACCTTCTTTCACCCACATGTTTCCCAAAGGGTGTTTTACACTACTTTTTTTAAAAACTGACATTAACACCCTCCTTCGAGTGCAGGACTGTATTCCCTTCCAGAAAAAGTCGGTCCCGGGTTTTTCCTGAACCCCTTATAAATTTTACTTGCTCCCTAAAACAGCTCAAGTTTTAAAAACCATTTGCTCCATTCACCCCCTACAAACACGTCACGCTGTGGGAAGTCCAAGCCCCGCCCAAACCTCCTTTACCCCCCCCCCCCAACCCTTCTAGGCCGCCCCTACCCCCCTTCCTTCCATACGAGATCACTCTTAAAGTCATTTTTTTTCCTCCTTTCCTTACAGCCCAAAAACCACCTCAAAAAACCCTTTCCCTAGCCCTCGGGCAACTTTTTTTGGAAATCCCGCCCCTCCTCCTAACTTCAAACTACTTTTTTCCTGCATTATATTCACACACACATTGCCTCAGACAGAACTCCACTGCCCCACCCTTTCCCCTCGCGCAACATTCATCACCCACGCTTAACCCATATAAGGCTTTGGTAAAATTTTAAATCTCAAATTTCCCCTTTGCCCCAAGGACAAAGTTTTTTTGTTCCCGACTCCAAAGGCACCACCCTTTTTTTCCCCTCATCAATTCTATGATTCACCTATCTTTCAAGCCCCTTCCGCTGACCGCCCCATCCCAAATATTTGAATACGTTCCCTCCCCCTTTCCCTTCTCCCCCAATCTGTTTTAAATCTTTCATCACCTAATCTTTTTGTTACCCTCATAACCTTACTCTTTTTGTATTCCCTTTAATTTTTTTCTTTGCAACCCTAAAAATTTCCCCACAATCTCGAAAAACTTCTCTTCAGAATCCCCCAAGGCACAGTGTCTCGCAAAAAGCAGCGTACAACCCCCCTTTTGTGTGATTCTTTATTTTTTTAACTCCACCCTTTTGCCAAGCCCCTGCTTTTACTTTTTTTAAAACCCCCATTTTAAAAATATATTAAAAAACGGTGACAACACCCCCTTGTCAAAGGGCCCCTATTTTTTGGGGGAAAAATTTCCTTTTTTAATACTCTAATTGGCCCTCATTCCCTGTAAAAACTCTTCATGTTTCAGAAACCCTCCTTTACCTACATTGCAAACTCCCTTTCCCCCCCTATCCCCCCCTGTCATACCCCTTTTCCCAAAAACCATAATGCCAAAAAGCCTCTTTACCCTTATCTAAATATTTTATTTTTGTTTCCTTTAAAACCCCGGGTCACACCCCCCCTCCCTTTCCAAAAGCCTCCTTGTTCATTGTATTATTCTCCCCGTTTACTTTTAAATTCTTTAAATTTAAACTTTTCCATACACTTTACCGGGTCATAAAACAGACTTATCCCCATAATTTTTGCATTTTTACCCCCTTTCCCTTTTATAAAAAGGAAAACTATGAGCTCTCCCCAACCCCTAGGTACCTTCCCCTCTTCATACATTTATTAAATAATTGCACCAAACCCACTCCAAAACTATATCCCCCCCTGTTTTAAAAATTTCTATTTTTTCCAAAAAACCCGGCTGCCCCCCCCTTTATTTATATGCCTCACGAATTCCCCCACATCACAACGGGCTTTTCCCTCATTAAAGATTTATTCCCCCTTCCCCTATAACGAAATCAAGCTTCCCTTTTTCTTCATAAAACATTTAAAAAATTTCCCAAAATATTCCCTTTCCTTTCCAATACCCCAACTCTCCATTTAATAATCTCCCCTCCCATTTTTAAATGACAAATCAATTTTTTTCTGGTTTTTTAATTGTTATCCACTCCCAAAACTTTTTCTTATTTTTAAAAAAAAATTTGTTTATAAAACTCACCCATCTTCATTTGTTCCTTTTAATTGCTTCACCACTCTCTTAACCCTTCTTTTTCTCCTATTCTTCCCCTTTTCATATTCTACTTTGTAAAAATTTTAGTAACTTTTTCTCCCCTTTTACTCTCTTACATCATCATTCCAAAACGCTCCTCTTCCTCCTGACCCCCTTTTCCCGTAAACAAACTTTGTGAAACTTAAATACATTTTTAAACCCACCCCAACCCCTTTTGACCCCCCTTGCCCTTGCCTCATTGCCCTCTATCCCCCAATAGTGTTTAATCTTTCCCTAACTGCCCCCTTTTTAGTTTTAAACCTTCACCCCTCTTTCCCTGATGCTTCTTTTTGATCCCACTACCTTTACTTCAGGGAGTACAATAAAAGTGATCTGATATATCGTGGCCCTCTATAAACATGAAAACCTAAGTCTACCAAAAAGTCTTTTATTCCCAAAATAACCCAAAAAACTACGTCATTTTGCCCTACTCAGTGTATACTTATTATCCCCTTTTTTTTAAAAATGTATTATATAACAAAACCCTTTCTATAAAAAGTTCAATCAAAGGGGTCCCTTATCATTTAACCCGGCCCCCAAAATTTCCCACCACACCCTCTCTAAAAATTTTCCCTTTAGATTTAAGTCCCTACCCAATTACCCCTCCCTTTGGTTCAAAGGGTCCTATCATTCATTTAAAATCCCAAATTCTTTTCCCCTGGGGTTTTTCTTTCTCCCGGGGCTACCGCTTATTTGACCACTTTCGCATCCAACCTTTATTTTAAACCCCATAATTTTGAATTTAACATTATATTCCTTTCTCCTTCCTATGAATTTAAATTATGCCCCCCCCTTGCTCTAACTCTCGTACCCAATTTAATCCATTTATTTCCCCCCCCAAAAACTCCCACCCCCCCGCTTTGTTTCGTTAGGGGCCGGACATCCAAAATTTTTTCATTCATAACATCAAATATCGTTTCTTTTCATCCGCACACTTTCCCCGCCTTTAAGCAACCAGTTTATAAAATTTTTCTTCTTCTTTTTGTTTGTTAAGGAGAAAAGGGGTTTCTAGCCCCTTGCTCCGGTTTTTGTCG